GCAAAACTACCGTGGATTAGTAATAATATAAAACAAATTTTTCAATTAAAAAGAGAAATGCATCAAAATCTAATAAATTGTAGAAACAATATTACTTACCCTTTTTTAAAAAATAATTATAAAAAAATATCTAAAACTTTAAAGAGAAGAAAAGCCAAACTTCATTATAATAATAAACTTATAGACAATGCTCCAAACAACCAGCAACAAATGTGGAGATTAATAAATAAAAATAAAACTTTAGTTTATAAATCCAAAAATATTATTTTGGAAAAAGAAAATATTGTTATAGATAGTCCATTGAATGTAGCTAATGAATTTAATGTATTTTTTGCTAATATATCTGATACACTAAATTTGCCATCACCAAAACTTAATGTCAACAACATTGAATCCATTAACTCCAATATGTTTTTATATCCCTCAGATGCCGTTGAAGTTTATGACATTATAAACAATCTAAAAAATAAAAAATCCACTGGTTGGGATGAAATTCCAACAAAAATTATTAAAAGGTGCGCATACGTCATAGCAAGTCCTCTTAGTCATATTATAAATCTTTGCTTTTTAAGTGGCGTTTTTCCGGATGGATTAAAGTTGGCTATTGTCAGGGTTTTGCATAAAAAGGGTCCTGAAACTAATGTTAATAACTATAGACCTATTTCCTTATTACCTATCTTTTCAAAAATACTGGAAATATCAATTTCTACCAGATTGATAAAAACTTGTAATAAACATTGTATAATTTCTAAACATCAATATGGTTTCGTTAAAGGTAGTAATACAGAATTAGCAATATTTAATTTTGTTGATAGGATCATGGACCTTTGGAATGAGATTTAAACTTTAGTAAGAGAAATTATAGTATGAGTTTAATTCCTTTTATTGAGTGGCTAAGGTAAGAGGTGTAACGAAGGATCAATTATTCAATTCAACAATGGATTTATTCAAAGGTTAGGCATGGCTTTTTGTTAGGACAAATAAGCATCTTGTACAGGATTCTATAATTAAATTTCTTAAACAAAATTTTATATCTGATAATTATGATTAGATAATTTGGGAATAAATTAAAACTAGACGTCAGGGTAAACCTAAGTCTATGACTATTTTTTTCGCTGTAATGAAGACTATTTTTAATAGGTTAATTAAGGAACCTGCCGAAATTACAAAAATCAAATATCTACGTAAAAATACTTACAGCATTATTTTAATCAACTCGTCTTGGTGGATACGCCTAATATAGCTTGAGTAGGTATTGTCGGGGATTGGAGAAAGCTGCTAAACAATCTTTTGATAAAGACAATATCGACGATATCCAAAGCCTAAATTTAAAATTAAAGTATGTTGATAAACCCTCAGGTAGTCCTTTTAATAGTGTTAAACCTCGCTTTGGACATAATTATTCTACTTATAAACCTAGACCTGCAAAAGCATAATGTTGTGCGGTACTCAAATTTTGTACTTTAAGTACTTTTTGTGTACTCGGTACTCAGTCCAGAGTACATTTTAAAAAAAGTACTTGTACTTGTACTTATTTAATTGGTTATACCCGAGTACAATTTTTGTACTCGAGTACATTTGATGTACTGGAGTACTTTTGTTGTACTCGAGTACTTTTTGTACTCGGCATCTTTGTGTTAAGTTAACATAACCACTACTATAGTGGCACTACATATTCAAATTTATTGCCATAATTATAATGCTTTAGCAGCTTAAGTTTAACGGTTCGGCAATATTCGGAATAAATCCTCGATATGGGAAAGTTGGTAAAAGTTGGTAAAATATCATTGTATACTTTATAGAGATATTACTTATTACAAGAGGTAGTGCCCATTTTATCTCTGGTAGTGCAGTCATAATGTCATATGTAACGGTTTTTTTTTTAAGTAATTTGAGATTATTCTGCAATACAGAATCTGCATTAGTATTATTTTAAGTGTTTTGGGTTTTGTTATACTGGGGAAAGTAAGATTTTAAATATTATTTTGTATTTGTTTACCTACTCGATTAAGTTTTTTTTATATTTGGTACTTTTAAAAAATTAGGTTAAATTTTTGCATTCAATCTTATTTTTTTGCAGTCATAAATGCATGTTACTTTAATTTAATTTCGTGCTTGCAGTTAAATAATGTTTAGGCTGTTTATTAAATAAAATATATAATAAATTACTTGCATGAATAGGTATACCTATAGGTAATAAGGGTTATTTGTAAAAGAATAGTTAATCTATTTTAATATTATTTTTTCTGTTTAAAATCGAAATAATTGGTTATTTGGAAAAAAATATTCAAATCATAAATGCCTAAAGTTTTGGTAGTACCTACATTAAGATATAGTATAATTCTTAGCAGTGATTTTTGTAATAATCAATATTTTTATTTTTATTTTTTTTATTTTATTATTTTTTTAATGTGCTTTCAACAGGCACCAGGCCCAATTACAGAAATACACAATGACAAACACAAATAAACAACCATACCCCTGGTGGGATTCGAACCCACGACCTCTCGGCTTGTAGTCCGCAGTGCTAACTACTACACCACCGAGGGCCGATAGCAACGGTTGAGGCTAGTAGCAATAATTTAGACGATGTCATACATTCTCGAAAGGATTTTTCTGAGGACCAAGTAAACCTAATTAAATTTGTAATCAAGGATTTTCTTAAATTAGGCCTCAAAGGGTAATTAACTTAAACCAATAAGCTTATCTACCACATAGATACGGGGGACGCGCAACCTGTCAAACAACGTTAATATAATATGTCACCTTATATGTTATCACATCTCAATAATGAGTTGAAGGTAGTGGAGCCATGTGGAAGCCCTTGGTCTTCACCAGTTTTATTGGTTAAGAAAGACGATGGCGAATATAGATTTTGCTTTGATACCAAGGATAGCATCCCTGCCCTGCCTAAAACCATATTGACAGTCTGTAAAAATCCGTTTAATTTTCTTATCCTGGAGGTCATGCATTTCTCATATTTTTTAAAGATAATAGGCCACAAACATATTGGTCTGTAGTTGAACGGTTCGTTTTGATCTCCAGACTGAAATATTGAAACCACTATTCCTTCTTTGAAAATCAAAGAAAATAACGATTCTCTAAAACTTAAGGTAGTTGTCGTGCTACAGGCATACCATCAGAAAATTTTAAATTTTTGTATACTTATTAAGGACATGACAATACAATTATCCTTAAAATTTGAAGTCGATTGACCGTCTATAACCCGAGATAAATTCAATTAAAAATTGGATAATTAACATGGATTGTATACGCTTTCTGTAGTTCTGTACCAGTTTCTTAGTTATAAAAAAAAAACTAACTGTCAGAAGCTTTCAAAAAACTAACAGTCGTTTATTGTATTTTTGCTGAGTTTAAAAAAAAATATTTCAAAATTTTTGACCGTCCAATTGTTTATAAATAACCGTTTAAAGTTCAACAATTTGTAAAAAGTATACGTACTAGTGAGTCAGATAAACAACTTGGCAACGCTGTACGCGAGTATAGATATTATTTGCGGAGTAAATTCAAGCATACTGATGAAGATCAATATTTCAAAATATATAAATATTTATTACGGATTAAAAAAAGGAATATTTTGAGTAATAAAAAAAATATTTTATCAGTACAATTTTTTTTATTAAATTCAAAAAGCATACAATTTTACAAAATTATCTAAAATTCAAGATAAAAAATAGAAATAGTAAATAATGTAAATATTACGTGACTTCCTTCATTTACATTTATTTTCGTGTTTTAAGAATAGCAGATATTCACAACTATACGCTTAATTCTAGTGACTTAGTCCAGGAAACAAAGATTGTAGAAGGAAAACTCGATGATTATGATAATGAGTATGTACTAAATAAGGCACACGTTAAACCCCATTGCGCACCTATATGATGTGCCCTTTTGCTATGCGCATGCACACTGCAGTGTGCAAAGTTGAGCGTTGCTTTCAAAATTACTTTTTTGTTTTTTTTTATTATAGCCCAATTTTAAAAGTAATCGATCCCAAATATTTAACGTGTGCCTTATTTAGTACATAATCAAAAGTATTAGAGGTGAAATTCTGAAAAAATGCACGGTTAGCAAGTTATGAGCCAAAAGGCAAAAAAACTCCCCTTTCGGGGGATGAAATTAGGGGACGTGGAAAGAAATTTTTAGGGAATATTCTTGATTCATTATCAGCACCCCTGACTCTAAATAAAAAAAATAAAACCCGACTCCCATCGAGTTTTCCTTCTACAATCTTTGTTTCCTGGACTAACTTCTTATAAACAAAAAATAATAAAAAGTTAATAAAATTTTAAGTGGAATTAAATATGCAGTCATTAGAGATAGAATAAATCCCATTTTAGTTAACACAATATATATATATATATATATATATATAATTTATTTATTTCTGACCCCAAAGCAGTATGACCATACTGATATCAGGACCTACAAAACATTTTTACAAAATAATATAATGTTGAGGCTTTTACAGCATTTACAGGTACATATGTTTTTATATACAAAATGTATAGGTACTAGAAATATCACATACCTACTTATAAGTATGTTTTTAGTTTTTTACACATTATCACATTTTTTTGTTTTTTTGTAATTATTTCAGGTAACATGTTATATGTTATATGTTTGTATACTTCTGTATAATAAATAATATAATCAAATTTTAATATAACTAGGTATATTAATTTAATTTTTATATTAAATATAAATTAAATAATAGTATATTCTGTAACAAGTTTGGAATACGGCATGGAAGGCGAGTTTGACGGTTTCACGAGAGCGAAATATGCAATTCCAAACGTGTTTCAGACTATACTTTTTTTACGTTTCCAAAAAATACCTTAGAAAAATAATGTCATATTCCGTAAGAGTAGAAAAGATATATTTTAAAACTCAAATATCTTAAGACTCCGACATATAAAGACTGACACTGACATATTAAGAATGACATAACTAATAATAATGAATATTAAATATTGCACTTAATTACATTTATTTTTGGTTTTAAAAAAAGTTAAAATTTGCGCTAGTATGCGCTTATTTTTGGTGACTTGTGGCTTGCCATTTTTGAGCAAAGTAAAAGTGCTGAGCAGACCTTCCTCTCCTTCTTCATCGAATTTTTTTTGTAATATTTCAAATGTTAGATTTTCTTTGGCCAATTTTCGCAGCATACCATTTTTTAGAGTATCTTTCAGTGGTTTTAATGAAGGTAATATAGTGTTAATTCTTCGTAATTCAATTACGTGGTTTACAGAGTCAGCATAAGTCTTAGCATTCTTGAAAATATCCTCATTATCGAGATAAGATGATACAAGTGATTTCAAAACATACACGTCGTAGGATGCTTCATGAAAAGCTCCAGTAGACTCTTGCTGTAATAATTCTTTAGCCAGAGTTTCCAATTTAAATGCCCCTTCACCACTTCTTTCATTGAAATGTTTCTTCAACAACGGTAGACTATCGCAAAAACCACAAATCACTGTAAAATCATTAACCATGTCGCATTTTAAAATAGCTCGAACCAAATGAGAAACATCGAATGACGCATTATGCGCAACAAGTAGGCAAGGTTCTTTGAACTTAGACAAAAATTGTTTAAATGCACGTAAAGCATCTTCTAAACATACTGTTAATACTTTATCATGCCTCAAGTAAAGTTGTCCATTGATATTTTTTAATCCAGTGTGCTCAGAAGCTTCAGGATTAATTTCCTTTGTTGGAGTAATATAAACATTAAATTTACACTCATCATATTGAGCAGCTATTTGTAAAATTTCATCAGTCTTGTGGAAGCCTGACGTCTCCAGGTCAAAATAGACAATCTTTGATGAGTCTGATATTACGTTGGGAAAATCCACGTAGGAAGCTTGATCAATGAGTTCTTCAGTAGATTGGGTTGATAAATTGAGAAAACCACAATTTGTTTGGTATTGGACACCTTCCAACTTTTCATTTTTTTGTCTTAAGTTGTCTCTTTTTTTACTAAGTATTATTCTCCTACGTTTAGTTGAAGGAAGCTGACATTTTATAGTTCTTTTGAGTCTTGTCCTGTCCATTTGACTGGTGAAAGACTTTGTGTGTTTGCCGGGTGACAGAGATAATTTTTCATTGACAGCCATAATGTGAGAGTCACCTTCATTTTTCGTGCAAATTGCGCTAGCATATCGATAGTCAGCCGACTCGCTCCGACTATAGCAACAATTTTTCGGAGCTTTATGGGCCATGATGTTATTTATACTTTTATTTGCTTGGCTTGAAGCAGCAATGCAAAATTTTTCAGAACTTTTTGAGTACTTAGTAAAAATCGCCTTTAATGCGTTATATAAATTAATACTTTTGAGTAAAACAGTTTGATTTTCCGAGTTAGGTTCGCCACGTCGACACCATGAGCCACAATTTTCATGGTGGTTAAATAAATGATCTGGTATTGCAAGCATAGCAGCAGCAAGCTCACGATTTTTGCCCTTGTTTTGAGCGATGGCATAGCTGAGGCATTTTCTAATATGTTCAACAACTCCCTTCTTTTTCATCTCGTTGTGGCTTACACGTAATCCATACAAGTCAGTGTTGAAGGATCTTTGAAGATGATTTTTATCGGAAAATTTAAAGATTGTCTTCGTTGTTCCTTTACGCACCGCCGATATTGTTGAACTATCTTCGTCACCTATCAAGACTCGAACTTGTAAGCCTGATTCTTTCAGAATTGGACTATTGTTAGCCAACGAAGCTCCAACAGTAGGCTCCATAGCCTTAGCACTGCCTTGAAAATTTAAACGGCAATCATGATCATCCTTTGGATGTCCTAAATCACATAACAAACATTTCCGGTTGCAAGTTTCATAATCTAATACTTTCCCGCTTAAAAATCCAATTATACAGCCATATCCGTTCAGACTGTCATAACTACGCCCGTTACCTCGCTTGCTCCAACCCATATCGTACGATACAATAATATTTATTATTTCACCTAGATCTTGGTCAAAGTTTCCAATATTTTCGCTAGAAATATTAACATCAGTAGCTTCGGAGTCTTCAGCAGCATTAATGTAGGAACGAAGATTTAGATGTAGTGGATAAATCTCCTGAACAACTTCTTCTGGTCTACAAAACATCGAACAAAAAAATAATTAAACTGGGAATATTAATCAATAAACATTTTATTCATTGTAATTTATATTTTTATTCGCATTTTGAAAATAATTCGGTACATAAGGATATAATTCTATCGGTTAAATATTAGATTGATCTTTATCAAAAATTTGAAATAAAAAATGCCTATTGTTTATTTCCTTATCTACGTTTTAGTTAATTAAAAAATTATAAAAACTCCGCATATTAACTGTGCTTGAATTCTAAAATCCTTACAGGTCTTTACACAATTCGTCGATTTTTTGAATAACTAGTTGTCGTTCTTCTTCAGCCGCAGATTTACAGCTTTCTTTAGCCACAGCCTCTATCGCAGGTCCCACTTCTCTTTCAGAGCGTTTAAACAAATCTTTTGAAATGCCTGGTAAATTAGCACAAGCTAAAACTTTATTCAAAGCTGTGCATCCAATTCCTGCATGTAAGGCACCTACAAAAATATAATTTTATTATTTTCATAATTCAAATTTTACACTTATTCATTATAGAAACAATTAAAATAGAATAAAACATACCAAATACAACTTTAGTGTTTATATCTGCACGCTTCCTGTTATCCTTGGAAAGATGAACTTTACCTGCATCAACTTGATTTAATAAACCACACTTTTTACATTTAATAGTAAACGTTGAATGGAGGCCTGCACGGATTTCTCTTTTTATTTGTTTTAATAATAAATTATCCTCGCAAACTTTACATGTTAAATTATTAGCCAATATATCAATGTCTACTATGCGTTTTCCAACTGTAAAGTTAGTATCATCATTTTCTAACATTGCCTCCATTTTTTGTATACGACCCTTTTCTATTGACTGAATTAGTCGTACACGTTTTTCTAACACTTTCTTTTTAATGAATCTCCCTTTATATCTTAAATTTTCAGACATTATTCTATTTAGTGGACTGTTCAAAAAGTAAACACTAGACACTATGTATTTATGTATCGATCTATATTGTACAACGATTCAGTCTCCAATATATCTATTGGTTGCTCATAAGCGACGTTGCCGGTTAAAACTTATGGAAATATATGAAAGTATTACGTAAAGATAACGTCTCCAAGGTACACTCTGGCGAAAAAATTATGAATCATTTTGCTACAAGCTCGTATACTTTTACGGTGCGTATAATCTAAAAATTTTTGACAATATTGTACCACGACAACTACCTTAAGTTTATTAATTTTGCAAGTAGTTAGATTAGGTTACCGATTGTTTTAATAATTTTAACATTTAGACCAAAATTGTCAAAGCTAGTTTTATTTTTTAAGTTTAAAAATTCTCTTACCTCAATAAATGACACATCATCAAATAAGAACCACACAAATAAGAACCACACGACAACTAATTAGACTTTAAAGTCTACTAAGTTTACATTTGAATTAATTTGTTTTGTTATATTATGGGCTATTTCTGAGAAGTACTTGTTAAATACATGTATAAATGTACTTTTTAAATACATGTATAAATGTATATTAGGCTGAATATTAAAATTTTGTTTCTTTTTTGTTAATATTCTGTTTTCGATCATTACTTGCCACATAGATTTAACGGAGTTTTTTAAGTTTTTAATTGTTGTGTTTGACTTTTTATGGATATTGTGTACTACATGAGGATGTCCATTCCAAAACTCGGTTTATCCACTTTTTAATAAAAATGAGTTAGTGGTGTCTGTACATTTAACATGTATCCTCCTATACCCTGAAAAGTTCATAACAATCTAAAACTAACATTATTCAATTTAATTTACAAATTTACAAATTGACTATTGTTCCAAAACTTGCCTTATATATTGGTTATATCATGCAGAACTCGGCATATATACGTATGTAATTTTAAATTATTTTAAACTGGAGCAGCTCCATCCAGTAGATCTATACCTTTTTAATCAAGGTATATAAATGTTTTACTTATGCCTTTATATTTCGTTTAAAGTATTGTGTTTGCCTGATATGCGTTAGTACTAACGTGTAAGATTTTTGACATTTTGCTCGAAAATGTGTAGTAGGTAACCAAAGTGTTTCTCTCATCTGTTGAAAAGTCTCATCCTGAAGTTTTATTACCCTAAGACCCTAACACCTAACCTTCCAACGCTGGAAACTTTGCCGAATGAAATACATCGATGCCTAAAATGGAGATGGCGTCGCTCAAAAAAACTAAATTCAATTATAAGTTAAAAACTCTATCGTACCATATCGTAACTTTATCGTACCACACAAAAATACATAAGACAATGTTGTTTAATCAACACGAAATTTTCTTGGATTTTTCCCCAAGTTTAAGCAAACACGCTTACTTCGTCTGGCCTTGAGCAAGGCTTATACCGGAAAGAAAGTCTAATACGATTTTTCTGCGTATTCAAACCGTTGAAACATTCGAGAATTATCTTGACAACTCCACGTTGCCTATGTCAACTAATAACTTTTAATACAAAACAAACCGCCCTCGATGGTGTAAATAAGTTTAGATGACGTTCCACCAAAAAATGTTCTTAATTTGACGACACTAATCTTTCTAATCTTTCTTCGGTTCGCAAATTCATATTTTGAAGAGGAACTAAATATCCGGAGAGAGTGATGAATGTATCAAAGTTAGACACGTCAGTGATGTTCTCAATCACTGGCTATTAAGTTTGCCGGCATACCTGGTTTACAAAGCTGAAAGGTTCTATGGTCAGTGGACTTTAGGTGCACCATGGTCCAAGCAAAGCCAGGTATAATCGCAGTTATTCCGAGTGGTTCGACGCTGTGTGTTTTGAAGACTGGTTTTAGACAATCGCGCTACCCTGGGCCATAAATAAGGCAGGAAGAAAGCTCATTTTAATTGTCAACAATATTATATCAAATTTACCATTCTACCACCTAACTCGACCCATCTAACGCAGCCGCTAGATGTTGTTTATTAAAGCGTTGCTGGAAAAAGCTCCTTACAAATTATAAACTTCAGAATCTAAGAGAAAAAAACACTCATCAAAACAACATTCCCTAATTTATTGAAAAGCCTCGTCGATGATTTAAAGATGACTGATGTAAAAAATATTCGAAGTGCCTTTAGAGCTACTGGGATTATTCGATTTAACAGAAATAAAGTCTTGAAAAGACTCCTTACTCAACGAATAGAAGAAAACGTAAGGCAAGCAGTAAATGACAACCTTTAGAATACTTGAAAGAGACCAGGTGCAGATCCAAAAAGGAAAAAAATGCTAAGAGTAGAACCTTGCAAATCAGTGGGAACTGATGACTTTTTGACGAATACCAACAACTGCTTGGAAGACACTGATGATACAGACAAACCATATACATCTGGGGGCCAGGGAAATCTTGAAGACGAAAATAAAACCGAATGTTTTTTGTAGAATGAAATATTGAATAGAAGCAACAGTTTCGAGGTTTTGGAAAAGGAAACTGAAAAAGATGGCCTGCCTCCTACTTCATTCATCAACCAGAAAAAACCATCTAATGGTGATTTTGTGATAGTAGCGTTCTCAGCTAAGAAAATTGTTAAACATTAAGTAAGTTATAGAAACAGATGAAGATGGGTTGTAGTAAAAATATTTGAAAAAAAAAAGAAAATTGATTTGTCTATCCCAATGTAGAGGACACATCATACGTCAAGGAAATGGATGTAGTCACAACATTGGAAAACTCAAAGTTATTATTTCCATAGTGACTTAAGCTCATATAATATTAATTAGCTTCCGTTTTTTGGACGCGTTTGCAAATGTTTCTAGTTTATTTGATCTCACAGAGCCGTTTTTAAGTTTATATATTGTTTATTTAGAAAGAGACTGATTTTATGTATTTTATAAAGAATAATAGATTTTATTTTCCTATAATTTGTTGTTTTTTTCACCCCCTACACTTCATAAAATTACCAACAAACGCATTTGCAAACTCGCACCGATGTGCGGGTGACTGCCAAATTTAAAAATGTTGCGGACCATTTCTTGTACATATTTCTAACAACATTAGTCGATAGCTAAAATGTTAAAATTTTACACAGGACTCATTTACGAAAAGTAGTGCAAAGTCACACCGCTCTACGGCAACTACAATTAAAAAATTAAAATACAAATAACCTCAACACAAGGTAAATCATTTATTAAACATAAAGTAAAGGCAATTCTCTAAAGTTACGGTTCTTTTAGGTGAAATTAAAGGTTGTAGACTGCTGTTGAAATACTATACCATGGGTGTTGGCAAAATATAACTATTGCTTATGGAAACATTAAAACTACATGACGATAGAAAGTATCGAAACTTATCCTTATTGTTTTTAACCAAAACCTTATTGACAGTGAAATATACCTAACAAAAAAACATAGATGTTGCAAATGCACATCTTTAACATGCGCTTTAAACAAAATGTACATAACCGAACACAAAATACCATAACTTATTGGAGACCAGTGTTTTCCAATAAGCTGTCAACACATATTAAAGAAATGCCGCAGAAGCCACTTTGTAAATTTATTAAATAAACCTTGGTAAAAAGGCATTCTACATCATACAAGATTTCCTTGAGAATGAGTTCTAAAAAGTTAAGTACATTCTTAAATACTTTATTTATATTAAAACCTACATAATCCGAATCTCTAGAGAGGGGTAATAATATATATCTGTGTACCATGGTGACTTCCATCATATATAGACACAATAGCATCGTTAACACTTCCGACAGGGTTGCCTGAGTCTAAAAATAGATTTAGTCTAGTTATCTCTCTTCCTTGGTCATGTGGTCTATTTTTAAATATAAACGCTTTAAGGAAATATTCACGAAGAACACAAACACAGTACCTATGCTATTGCGCTGTAGGAGTGCGGGTGGGGGCGTGAAACATACATCAAAATACGTCCCCCTAAAAATAAAAATTGACGTGTCCAAGGAATTTTGTCCACACTTATCCCATAAAACGTTTGGGAAGGGGTACAAGTTTTCGTTGGAACAACCTGTATAACAATTATCTGTGTAAGACATAAACCTACCAGATTCACGATTAAAATTTTAGCAGCTATTAGGCCACTCTAGTTTAGGGTTAGGCAGCCTAACTTCTCATTTTGTATCAGAATCTACATCTAATTATAATTTGTTAAATCTTATTTAAAAAAAAATATTATTTATTATTAAGTTAAATCCTATTAAAAAAAATTTGTTAAAATACATTTATTAAAATCTTTTTAATATTACCATTCCTACCTATTGTATACAATAATATATATAGGGATTCGAAGAGAAGGTCTAGTTGACCAACTTTTTAGGTTGATTTTTTTGTGAACAATTTTACAGAGTAAATTAACTCGTTATAGAATTGGTTTATTATTTGATTTTTTTTTTAACAAAAAAACATCTTACCTTACCGATACAGGCGGGTAGTCAAGCTTTCGCTCTTAAGTGTACCTAATAATAATAAGTCTTAAAGAAACATAAAAATCGCTCATACAGTGTAGTTTAAGGAAAATTCTGTGCGAAATTAGTGCAAAGATTTACCTGGACAAGAAAAATTAGTGTACCTGTTGTTAATAAAAACATTAAATTAGTGCATTAAAAAGCAACCCTCAACAAGTAAATATAGTAAATAAAGACCATACGGACACGGAAGTAATTAAGTAATAAGTTACAACATACCTGGAAATCTAACCCCAGGCCAATATAAATCACCTTATGTAAAAAACAAACGAGTCTAACCAAGAGTGAAATCATCTGCAAAAATCTAATTAATCGCATAACACGCAAATTCGTCACAAAAACCTTATTACTGAAAACAGCTTAACAGAGTAAATAAACTA